CAAAACTCTAGAAAATAAAAAAAAGCAGCAACAAAATCAGTTCAGTAGTTCCCGAGAATATCTTGGCACAGACAGACAGACTAATGGCTAAAAATGTGTTTTTCGGACTCGGGAAGCTCTGAAACGTATAGATCCGTCGGAAATTTGACCCGATTACAATACTTTCCTTACCTAGTATTGGTGGGAAAGTAAAAAAAAAGTTCTTTAAATGACACCTTAGCTGTGAAATGAGCTTTCAAAGAGAAAAAACCCACGCAATAAATGTAGTAATCTCGTGTGTCACTAGCGGATCTAGGAGTTTCATTTGGGGGAGGGGGCTTCAGCCCGAAAACTATTTTTTTTTCACATATATAATGATAATTACTTTGGAGGAAAAAAAGAAAGATACTAACTACCTCTATGAAATGGTGTTTAAGTGATTCTTTAAGTCCTTTTAAATGTAATTACACGAACAATAATAATTAAGGAGATAATTTTTTTCCCATAAAACATGGTTAAATTTTATAATTCTTTTTGGGGGGGGGGGAGGGAGGCTTCAGCCCTAAAGCCCCCTCTTCCGAAGATCCGCCTGGGCCGTGTGTGAATCATTTGCTAAATTTCAAATTTTGAAATAGTTTTAAAAATTTTACTTAATAAAAGAAACTTTCCCTGACCGGACTGAAGGTTTTTGCGGATTCGGTTCGCGGGTTATAATTTAGAGACTCCTGCTTTATCTGGTCGTCATTTGTATCATATGATACAAATAAAAATGATATAATAGGTTTGTGACAACTAAAACGTGTGATGAATACTTTTGACTTTTGGATTAAAATCTATTTGCTAAATATCTAACAAAAAACTAAATTAAACTAACAAACTAAATTAAACAAAAAACTAAACTAAACTTACAAAAACTAAAAAAAAAAAAAAATTTTAAATTAATTTCTTTTACAAAGTTCAAGAAATTGTCGAAATTCAATCGAATGCTACAGAAAATAGAATAGAAACTCATATATATATTTATGGCTAGTTAACAATAAAATATCTATATTGACTTCCGCGAATTGGTTTCTGATTTCTCCATGATATTTACATTTTAAGATATTTTAGTCCAAGTGTTCAATAAAACTCTTTTATTATTTGGTTTTCGACATCCTTTTCTCTTTCCGGCTTTCTAACTCAGTGTCACGTCAAAATAAAATTTTGATTTATAGCTCATAACATAGAGGATGAAATGCTGAAAATTTCCCTCGTTTACATTATGCAGGTCCAAACTTTAGTTTTTGAGATATTTTAATCTCTATGTCCAACAAAACTCACTATAATTTGGTTTTCGACACTATGTTTTTCTCTCTATAACACGGTGCTGCGTTAAGATACAATTTTGAATAATAGCTTATTAAAAAGGCCGTGACTGCTGTCTCATTGATTAAGAAGTGCAAAGCGCTCATAAAGAAATTTTCACTTAAAAATAAAATATTGAAATTAGTGATTTTTCATTTTTTTCAACTTCAGTCTTTACGTTGACATATTTTGAAATTATTACGAAAAATGCCAAATTTTATAAAATTTCATTAAAGATTTACTGATGAAAATTTCATTTTAATCCTGAAAAATCTGTGTTCAAAGTGATAAGAGATGCACTAATTGTCTTCCATCGATACACGAAGCTCAGATTTAACCAATAGCAATCCAGCTCGACCTGCCTTCTAGTGGTGCTTTCTCGAACTTATTAGATTTCGGATTTGTGACCTCTTACAGAATTACTAAATGAATAAATATTTAACAAGATAATATCGTAAGTATCTATGGTAAATCGATTTTTTATTAACACTTTCCAAAAATGGCAGTAATTGCGATGAAAATTCTACAAATCTTATTATTCCATGACTCTTTTACGAAAAATATGTCAGAACTTGAAAAATTAAAATGAGAGGGATATGGTGTAGCACTCAAGATAAATAAATAAAATTGTTTTTATTTTTTTAAAATTCACGCCATTCAACCATTCAGTTTAGAAGTTCAGCACCAACTAGAGATAAACACCTGACCTTTTAAGTTTAAAATAGAAATCCTTTCAGTCTTTTCAAATTTAAGGAATATTGTGACATTCATGAGTTTATCAGTACCTATGTATGTACAGCTGGGCATGTCTTCTGTTTATCTTGAAATGCCTTAATGAACAAAATTCGTTCGTGTACTATGAATAAATAATCTTACAGAATATTTGATGTTTTTTTATAAATGTCAACACATACATTTTCAGAGAGCTATGGTCATTTTTTAAATCTAAATTGAATAATTAAGCATGAGATTTACTTTTCTTTACAATTAAATGCCCACAAATATTATTATTTTGCATCATGTTTATAATAATTTTAAACTGGCAAAAAAATACAAACCAAAGAGATTCATCAGATTTTCATCAGAGAACTTTATCTTTTTAAGAGCTATGAATTTTCGAAACGCCCAGACATCGAATGAACGCGTATAGACATTAAATTGTAATTATATACTTTGAAATGACCCATCTGATAGAACTATGGTTACATTTACGTAATTAAATATTTATTGATTATCCACATATTTTGAGTAGAATCTAACGTCTTACACCTTATGTATAATTTTAGAATGTCGCTTATGAAAATCTTTATATGTTAAAAACGAAACTCCTTAAAAACTCGTTTACCGGAAGTATGATGAGGATGAGAGCTGATATGAAGTAAATAGGAAACATTAAAATTATGTGTTGTGGTCTTATGACACTCAACCTACAGATTTTTCCCCTATACATCCTTCTGTAAAGATTGGATATGCCACAGTTACCTAGATAAAACAACAGTAGGGATTGTCGAAGTTGAGCTGGTTTAACAGAAAAAAACATTCTGTTAATGATCATTATTTAACAAAAGAACTAAAATTAATTTTCTGTTATAGCCGGATTTGGCATTGTCCATTCTTTCCAATCGCTCGGGTTCAAAACTATCTGATCCGTCTAAATCCATGCATTATGGCTGTTCAGTTCAAGGTCAGCAGGCGCACGGAGTCCTGACTGAAACAGGCCGTCAACGGATCAAATCTTCTACTGATATACCTCAAAAACGATCGCGATTTCCGATTAAGATGCAATGGTCATCACCCCCTACGCCAGGTCTGTGCGAGTTGCCTCCGGTAGCCTGTCGAGTCACACTACCGGGAGAAAAGAAAGAAGACAGAAGTAATTGTGTGCAAACAATTGTCCTCATTCATAAATAGTTACTTCGATTATTTCTAAAATTGGATCCCAATTTATAGGAAAAAAAAGGTATAATTTATTATTATTTTTTAGCAACAAATAATTATAAATTTTCTTAATTTAGTGTTTAGATTTATTTTTATTAGTTTAGTTTAAATCGAGTAAGTTATTTAAATTAAATTTCTAGATTCTTATATTTTAATAAATAATAGTTACTTTTGTTAAAATGATCGCATAAATTTTTCAATGTCATCCGTTTTTTTACTTATTTATCGTTACCAAGTAAGGAATGGAATGTATCGGGTCAAATTTTCGACGCGTTTTTCAACAGTTCTTTAAATTTCATATTCTGGTGTAAAAATAAAATTATTTTGCGTAGGTTTTCTAGGAAACACGTATATTTTTTTTATTGTTTTGAAAAAATCGAAAACTACATTTATTATTTACACATATACAATTTGTTACCTAATTTTTGGTGCTGAGTTAATTGGTGGCTTACATAAGAAAATAATGCTTATTATTTTTTTTTTTTTTATAAGTGTTTTAAATTTTTCTGAAATTGGTAGGAAAATCATGTTGAGTGATCACACTATTGTCCGACCATGCTCATGCGACAGGTACTGTCAACTATTACGCAAAATCTACAGTTTACACCATGGCAGCGAGTTGCTACGATAGTTGTTACCATAGCAACAACAGTCATGGTTACTAATAGCCCCATTTATGGTAGTATTTCAAATTAATGTTTCAGAAATAAAGTTTTTAACGTGGTCTACCAAATGATAGAAGTTTGTAGTCGGGTAATCATCAAGTCGTTACCAGTTGATTACTTAATTAGGCCTCTTATTATTAAATTCTAATCGAATTAAATTTAAATATTGTTTACAAAAACATATATATTATCTATTGTTGAATAAGCCCATACGAAATGGTTGGACAAAATGGATTATATAGGAGTGGGGATAGTGTTGGAATCGTACGTCACATATTGATTAATGTCCTTCGGCCGCTTCGGGAATATTCGGCTCCGTTCGGCTCGGCTCGGCCAAATCCATCCAAACCGCTCCTCAGGCTATCCTCTACCCTAGCCCGGTAACTATACTCACTAGAACTTTTTCTTAATTATATGTTATTTATAATATAATTATAGTTATAATATAATTACAATTATATATATATATATATATATATATATATATATATATATATATATATATATATATATATATATATATATATTTATGATATACTTTATTTTAACTGCTTTTTTTTCTTAAATTTAGTAGACCTAAAAATTATTTGTTTTGAAAATTTTTTTGTTAATATTCGATTTATGTTTTTGTAAATATATTTACAATATTTTTATTTTTTATTTTCAGATAACTGTAGCACTGTTTTAGTAGTTGGCGAATAAAACAATTCATCACCATGATATCTTCTACTTTTTTGGTATGTAATTCTTTACAGATTATTTATTTATATATATATATATATATATATATATATATATATATAATCATGTATATATCACTATTATATTCAAATGCATTTCATTTTAAAATAGAATCATATTAAAATAAACCACCTAAATTGACAAAAAGTTTAAAATGTACCATTGTTTTTATTTTAGGTTTTGCATGATTTATTTTTCATGATTATATTTTAATGTAAATTATTTACATACCATACTATACTATATACTATTTAATCAAAATAACGGATAATCATAATTGATTAAACAAAATTTAATTAATTAGAACCCTATTTTTGTAATGCTAGGTGAGAAATGGCTTGGCTTCGTAGGAAACAAAAAAGATCCTGCCGCCTAGATAGTCGCAAACCGACCCTTGTGCAGGTATAATTTAATTTTAATTGCTTAATAGGGATATGTTTTTTAAATTTTATATTTGTTTTCAGTAATTTAGTAATGTATACAATATATCGATAGCCACACTGCAAAAGTCAGTAAGTGTGAAAATACTAAATTATTTATAAGACGAAATAAATCCTGCATTTCTTTATTTTAGGATCTAGAATTTGTTTTCAATTTTTGGTTTGTATTTTTGAATATGCCTGAGGTAAAGATTGGCGAGAAAAGTACATCACTACAATTTCTAATAAAACTGTACTTACAGGTTTTTGAAGCATTGCTGTTGATTTTTTGTACTAAAGATAATATCGATTCCTATCCTCTTCTACTCATAAGTAACTACAGTAGTTATAATCTCACAGTGTCATAACTAGAGACTGGATCTTCGTGCAGTAAAAACTCAAAATGTGTATAATTGTCTAATTTAGACCTAAAAATGGGAAAAAATCATCTGTTTTGTTTAATTTATAATATTAGTGTGTCGAAATCCTATCAAACCTTATGTTAAGCTTATAAATTAATTGTATCATAAAAAAAGAAAACAAATAACAACAATAAAATGAAACATTAAAAATTCAAAGTCCATATTACAATCAACCAACGACAATGAAATAAAGATTAACCTAAATCTTGAAGCAAGAGAAATCTAAAAAAAAAATCAGTACTAACATAAATAATAGAAAATTAAAAGATAATTAACAAAATAAATACAGAAAGATCTAAATAATTAACCAACAAACAATTAAATATATTTGTTTAAATTTCCCTTAAATTGGTTAATTGCCTGGCACATACAAGGAATGAAGTAATGTAGGGGAACTTAAAAAGATTAAAGGTATGAAGGATAATATATTATTGAATATTTAATAGTTAACCGTTGCATTATAAAGGAAGGAGATGGTCCGGGGTTGCGGTCATAAATAGGCTAAATAGTGGTAAAACTATTTTATTGAAAGCCGACGTTTCGACCTTTGCATGTCTTCTTCATGGCTAGAACGGACAAGATACAAAAAGATAGAGAATTGTGGCAGTTACATAATATTTAGACATAATTTATAAACAATGAGAATAAGCTTATTAAAATTATAAATATTAAGTACAATAAAATATGAACAAAGTAAGCTGAGTAACAAGATCCTAAACTGAAGTAAATAGATGCTAACAATTGTTGTAGTGTAATATATAATAAATGATAATACTACAATACAATACAACAATTGTTAGCATCTATTTACTTCAGTTTAGGATCTTGTTACTCAGCTTACTTTGTTCATATTTTATTGTACTTAATATTTATAATTTTAATAAGCTTATTCTCATTGTTTATAAATTATGTCTAAATATTATGTAACTGCCACAATTCTCTATCTTTTTGTATCTTGTCCGTTCTCGCCCTGAAGAAGACCTGCAAAGTCGGGTCGAAACGTCGCGTTTCAATAAAATAGTTTTACCACTATTTAGCCTATTTATGACCGCAACCCCAGACCATCTCCTTCCTTGATAATATATTATATATACCAGACCAATTGAATTCAGATATTTAATTTTAATTAAAAATAATATATGCCCATTCATAATTATAAATTGTCCACATTATAATGAAAACTTTATTTTTTAATCGAGTTGAAATTTAAAATGTTAAACAATTCGAAATTTGTTTCTGCTATCACTCAATACGTCTTTTAGCTAAGAAAAAGTGTTCAACCTGAACTGATGTAAGGGGATTCATTTCGTAACAAGCTACCACTGCTGGCATGTTCTTTATCAACTTTAACATTTATACGGTTGATGCAGTCGTTTTATTTTTTTATAAGAGCGTAACCTGTTTCTATTATGGAGTAAAATTTTTATTGATGCCGAATTCATAATAGTTACGATTCACTTCAAAGCCGGAAGGGCTTGAGAAAGAGTAAGAATCCAAGTAAAAAAAAGGAAGGCAGTTCTTTTATTGAATTACTTCAGGCAAGTTCTATTCTACGAATAGTCTGTCTAGTATGTCTGCACTTGTGTTTATTTCGTTCTTTTGTAACTGCAAATTCGAATTTTTGCCTGTCACAGAATAATTTATCTCCTCATATATTTTTTTTTCTTAAATTATAAATTTAATATGAACTACATTGTAGTAAATATTTACACACAAATATATATTTATATTTATAAATCATTTAATCTAGCACAAAATGTATAAAAATGTGCAATTTAATGGAACAAAAATCAAAATCGTGCAATTTAAGCCAAAAACAGCAAAACGTGCAATTTTGTGCAATATAAAATTTTAATATGTTATTCTAAAGATCCTAAAACGGATAGATATTCGGGTTCGGGGTTTTTACACGCAAGCGAATAAATTCTGCAATAACATGGAAATCCGTTCTGTAGTCATAACGTTCTGTTTTTTATTTTTCCTGATCTCTGTTTTTCTTTTTATTTCAATTATTTTTTTTCTTCAAACTGTTTTTACTTTCTGTTGTTTATATATTGCCACTGAAGGCATTGTATATCAACAGCCACACTGCAAAAGCCTGTAAGAACAAAAACTGAAAATTTTCAGGAGACGAAAAAAATGGCCAATTTTTGTTCTATGAGCATTATATTGTCGGTTCAATTTTTTTCGCAAGCCTAAGAAAAAGATGTAATGCTCTATGTAACTTTTTTGATCATATTTCTGCCAAATAATCTTTTAGAGCCATTACTTCTAACTTATAGCTTTTTAATTTCTTTGAAAAACAAGTATTGGTCAGGTAAAAACAATCTAATTTATTGCAGTAGCACCCATAGGTTTGTTAATAATGATGAAATCATTGCAGGAAAAAAGTCAGTTTCTAAAATGTAGAGAAACGATTCTTCAAATGATGAAAATTTGTAAAACATATTTGACTTGAAAGAGAGTATTTGATCACACAGATTATACACTTTTTTGCCTCTTATTTTAGGGGACAACTCGAACGGAGTGTATTCGTACCATTTTGGAGTAGTCTATGTAAGTTTTGTTTTTAACATACTCAACTTCTTATGGACATGGTTTGATTTACGAATGCTTGGTAAGTTCTAGGTAAGCTGCTAATGTGTAGATCACTTTGTTTCTGAGCTTCTTACGATTTTTCTTTGGTTTGATTTCATGAAGATTCATGGGTTTGAAAAAATGGAACTAGAGTTCTTTTTTTTGTCTCGTGTTAAATTTTCCAATTAACGAAACAAAAGGCCATAGAGAAGAAATGAAACGTCGTCGATTTCATTTCGTGGGATCAGAAAAGATTGACTAGAAAAGCTCAAAACCTCATTTTCCGAGGTAATTGTCCGTACTTGTGGCTGTTGATATATTGTAATTCTTGTTAATGTAGTTTTTGGCCAGAAATGGTTTTTGTTTTTTATTTATAATTGTTATTCTTAAGGGATCTTGTCTCAGTATAAAGTTTTTTTTCTATTTATCTAATAAATCAAAATCAAAGATAATAAAAAATCACTGAATATGAGTAAGAGTGGAAGCTTTCAAGAATTTTGTACTATGTAAGATAAAAATAATCATAATCAAAAATTTGTTTTATTCTTATTTTAGTCTGATACAGCTCCCTTTTTATCAAATTATTAACATCCGCCTGAAACTTCGTTAATAGCTTTATCTTACCGTAACCTACAACTATTTTATTCACGTAAATTCTCGAAATTGGGGCGTTTTCATTTTGGAGATCGGAAAATTTTGTCTATTTAATTAGGCACTAAAAAATCATAAATACCCATTTTCTTTACACTTAGATCGTGAGATAACATGAGCACAAAGTTGATAAAAAAAGGTTACCATCAAAAATATTGAGCCGTTTGGTTGACCTAAAACCTCAAATTATCAAAATAACGAGGTTCTATAGAACAAATGGCCCAATATTTTTGTAGACCTCCTTTTTTCTCGATTTTTTTTTTTTTATCAAATTATCTTACCATACAAGTGTAAAGTAAATAGGAATATATGAGTTTTTAATTGCTAATTAAATAGACAAAGTTTGCTGACCTCCAGATTGAAAACGCCCCAATTCCAAGAGTTTTCATAAATAAAATAGTCGTAGGTTACGATGAGATGAAGCTCTTTACAAAGTTTCAGGTGGATGTTAATAATTTGATAAAATGGGGTCTGTACCACAAACTCTTGTTTGATCAATCTAATTTTAATGTTTGTTTTTTTTTTTTTTTACATTAGTGGCAAACATAAATTGTATTATCTTGACTCAACCATAAAAAAAAAAAAAAAATGTTATTTAAAATTATTTAAGTTTCTACTAATCCTTAAACTCTGTTGAATACATTATATGCCATGGAGGTCAAAGTTTTCATCTTGTGTTTTTTCTCTCCTTCACTTATTGCATGAATAGGATAATTGCATTTATTTTTATTTTGTTTGTGAAGATAAGTTGTTCTAGAGGTACATCCAAACTTGTTCTATCAGACTGGGAAGGTCGAGAATTATTCCATGGTTGTTCCACCATAAAATAAATTTCAACCCTCCCAGGCTGAATTTGAAATGGTGTCACTAGACTCGTTTAGGCTTTTAACCCAATTGGCCATCATGACCTCAACATATAAAGTAGGTCTAGGTGAGTTTGATTTGCATCGTGTTTAGTAGCCATTTAGATCATGTTTAGCAGCCATTTGCTTTCTACCATTGTATTTTGTAAGTTTTCCTTTGAATCTGTTATAAGGACAATATTGTCTGCAAAGACAACAGCTTGTGTCAAAATTGGGATGAGATTCCTGTATCCGACGATAGTCCTGGGTCTTCTCCTCCTGCATATCTTGAGTATTTCATCTAGGAACGCGATTCTTGTCCATTGAGATGAACTATTCCGTTAGGTTCTTGCTATGCTGATTTTATTGCACACATTAGATTTGGAGGTATCTGATTTCTTCTTAGCACATCACAAATATCCTTATGGGCGACCGAATGGAATGCTCTCTTTCAGTTCAAAAAGACAAGATACGCATTCTTCCTCCCCCAGTCCTAAACCTTTTCCACTATCATTCTTAAAGAAAATGTGTGGTCCATGGTTTGTCTTTTGGGGTAGAAAGTAGCTTATTTTCGTCACAAATCATCTTCAACGGGTGGAATTTGGCGATACCTCTATTCCCTACCATACTTCCACTCTGTTTATTTCAAGTTTTTAGCTAAATATAATATTTTTTTCATTAGAAAAGTGCAATTTTAATGTTTAAAATGTAGATGTATATTCAAGATGTATATTCTTTATCACTTGAATTCTATCGTAGCTCAAATTTATATGATTTTTTTTTCCATGAAAGTACCCAAATTATTTTTGTGTGAACAGTTGGTGTTTTCAATTTCCGCTGTCAATTTTTAAAAGGTACATTAAAATAAACAACTTCTCAAAGAAATAAGTCGATACATAATACAAAAAAAAAAATAGTGGATTGTTAATTTTTGACAAACTTGTATTGCCTTGGCTCATTTATTGAGGTAAATTTTTTTTTTCCTTAGTTAATAATAATTATTTACTTAATAAAAATAATTTTGAATCATTATTCTCTTTTCTACTTCCCGACTTAATGAAATTTACCATAAGGTTATTGCTGCAAATAAGTTATTGACTGTTGGCAGTAAATGCAGTTGAGTAATTTTTAGAATATATATTTAAAATGTTGTCATTATTTTAATGTCGTGTTGTATGATTAATTTTTATTTATTCTTTTTTAGAGGTCCACTAATAATGAATTAAAGTCATCCTCGAAGAATTTAAAAAAAGGTCTTAAAGGAAAGAAAACAAAGATGATTCAAAAGGATACCCATATCGACAACTTGGTGAGATATTTTCTTATTACATATTATTTATAGTATTATTTCCGTTTTTTGTATTTTAAATTATAAATAAAGTGTTGAATTCATGTGAATTATGGAATATTAAAAATATATCACTAGGATATTTATATTATTAGCGTATTTATATATATTTTTTTCTATACCTTGTAAACTCTTCTTCTACAGTTTATTTTACATTTCATATAACTTTAATGCATCTTTTATTTTACATATTTGGAATATACTCCTACATAATATTATCCGTATTCAGGCAACTAAGAAAATTCATTTACAAAAAAATGTATATATATAATCTGCAACAACTTAACCTGCATACCTGATTGTAACATATTTCAACTTACAATTTGAGTATTTTACAATACAATAATAAGAAATAAAAATACATCTCTTAGGTACATTGCACAAGCAAGCTTTTTTTAAAATTAAGCTCTTATTCTTTTTTTAAACTTTATTTATAAAGAATTTTGATATTTTTTGTATTGTATTTATTTTACATAATGGATTTTAAGCATTATATTTATTATAGGTGCTCGAAGAAAGTAAAGAAAATTGGGGAACTGATGTTATATTCAGAACTGATGGTGCTAACATTCCATCTGATTTGGAAATCTTCCCAGCTCATAAAGGTATGCGACGTTACCATCTAATGACGTAATTGTTTGATTTTTTTAGCACAATGTTTCTTTTTTGTACAATTTATATCAAATCAAATAACCAGACAATTTTTAATGTAATATCACAAGTTTAAAATTCATTATTAAACTTTAAAAAAAAAATGAATTATTGTTTCAAACTATCAACTTCAAATTAATCCTAATTTCTTGAAATATGTTTTTTATTTATTCCTATTATATTTTATTTTTATATTAAGCTATTATAATAATTATTTAGAATTAAAACATGCAAGTTATCAATTACATGAGTAAAATTTACTTGTTAAATTCAGTTGACACCTTCTTTGTGGCAATGGTTGTGCCTCTGGAAACAATTCTATTCTTCGGAAATACTGAGGATTTTTTCAGAAGTTAATATGTTTGAAATCAGTTACCACTCAGCTCTGTGAGGAATATTGTTTTTTATATATTTTTTACCTTTTTTTTGTTTCTTGCCTTAACAACTCATTTATTATATTGCTATGATTTTGAATAAATTGTTTTTATCTAATTTTCATTGCTGTAATATTTTTCCTTTTGTTGTATATTAAGAGTAAATAAAAAATAATTTCGTATTTGTATTCTTTCTCTTTAACAATGCTGCATATTTTAAAGTTTTGTTTATTGGTTAAATATCCGTTCTCTGCTTATAATTGTTAAGCAATTCTACTCGTGAACGGAAGGAACATAGCGGACACTTAAGATCGTATGCATTCGTAATATACTGAACTTGTTGAAGGCATATTTTCTCTTTTATAAATTATTTTATTTTCACTCTGTTTTTATTGAGTAGTTACTGATGATAATGAAACAAAAGAGGAAAGTGTGGAATTAGTTCAAACTGAAGATCAATATGTGAGCTATTACGGTTACGAGGATCAGCATATTTGCTCTGAGGCTACGCAGGAGGTAATTATATTTTTATATGAAAGTTCTCACTTGTGATTTACTATTCTGTTTACTCTTTTATTTTAAAAAACTTTTCGATTTATAAATTAAACTAATTTTCTAATCAAAGGTTACGATGTAAGAAATGAGTAAGTCTATTGTATAATAATAATAATAATAAAAAATTTGTTGACAGCCATATTGTATTAAATAAGACAAGCTTATTCCGTCTCCTGACTTTGAGTAAATCTAAAAATCCAGAACTAATTTTGTTTTGGTCTCAAATGTATGAATTTATCAAAGATATAGCCGCACTCCTGGCGAACGTTTGCCAAAGTGTTCAGTAATGTATAGCTGCCATATTACTTGTTCAATACAGATCATTGAATGTTGAAAAATGTTTGCCGTGAGTGTGGCCATACCTTAACATTGGTGGCAAAAATCAGGTAAGTTCTGGACCTACCAAGTTTTCGTACCAAGGTATAACTGAGTTTTTGACTGTCAAATAACTTTTATCTTTTTTGATTCCATGCCGCATTATCTTTAAAAGTAATTGTAGCACCTTTCTGTAGATGAACCTATACTGTAGGAAATATTCTTTAATTTCCATTAGAATAACAATAAAGTTAACGAATACCGATATATTTTTTGGTTGAAAACTACATTTTATTAACTTATAAAGAAAATTCGAAATCCCACCTTTTTACTAAAGACTATTTAAAATCACTAATAATTAAATTTATTATGAAAAATATTTATCTTTACAACTTATTATAATTTTTTTGATGCCTGTTAGATTTTTTCCATTGAGAGTAATTAAATGTTATTTTTACATTTTAGGGCGATTGGGAAGGGTTTGACCCCTACCTGTTCATCAAACGACTGCCGCCGCTGACTAGGGAGAGGTGTCCTGCTCTTCCGTTGAAAACCCGCTCTTCGCCGGACTTTTCCCTCGTCCTCGATCTCGATGAGACACTTGTCCATTGTTCCCTCACCGAACTACCGGATGCCTCCTTTTCCTTTCCAGTTCTCTTTCAGAACACCGAATACACTGTATTCGTGAGGACCAGGCCTTTCTTCAGGGAGTTCCTGGAACGTGTGTCATCGCTGTTCGAAGTCATACTATTCACGGCTTCAAAGCGTATTTATGCTGACAAATTGCTTAACCTCATAGATCCGGCAAGGAGACTTATCAAGTATGTATTTTTTTTTTCTAAGCACTAAAATAGTTTTACCTATATTTATTGAAATTTAATTGTTTGTAACGTTTGTTTTTAAAATAATAATAATAATTTTCTAAATTTAAAGAATTGAATACTTGTATGGAAAAAAAAAGAAGGGTAAATTTGAGCTTTAATAGAATTCAAGTGATGAAGAAGTACATAAGTTTGAGATTGCACTTTTTAAATAATTAAAAATATTTCATCTATCTATCTATACTGGCTCTACAACCTGCTTAGCTAGTCATGGCCTCCGCCAATAATTATAATTAAAATATTTCATATTTAGGTATAAACTTAAAAATAACAGTGTGTTTCTGAGGAGATACAATGAGGACTGGGGATGTGGTCTGTGTTCAACCTTGAAGTATATGATTGCCAAACATGATGCTTTCAAAGTGTCTCTCGCCTCTACTTTATAAAAGATAATAAAATACATTTTAAACTAAGTACTTTTATTTAGAGACGATGGAAGTTTTGAACACCCTTATTAGCAAAAAATTATAAAATATCCAACACAATGAGCTAGGCCATAGGTGGGGGACCTGCGACCTTGGCAAGGAACATGTGGTCTTCAAATTTTTTTGTGCTACCTTCATTAATCTAGTGCTAGAGATAGTTAATATTTAACTATTTAGGTTATGAAAATTGATTGAATTGAGTTGAGTATATGTATATGGGTGTGTATTTACGTATTAGTAAAAATAGCGACAGTAAAATATAAACCATTATTGCGGTCTCCATCATCACTACCTAACCTTACCGTGGTCTCTAATGGTAAAAAGATTCTCCACCTGTGAGCGAGGCCATGACTTAGCGCTGTGTTTCCACTCTTGCAACCACTTTTCTTGAATGCTCTTTAAAAAGTCGCATAAGAAAACTTTTTTCATTTGTATTGTTATAACCTAATCTTTAATAACGTAATCTAGTCTTTAATAACCTAATTTATGTAAGTACGCAGTTGTAAATTTTTAAGAACTATAATTATTTAACTTAAATTCATGGTTAAATTTATTTTTGTTATTATTCATCAAAACTGTCTGAAAAAAGTAATATTTTGTGCCCAAACGATAAAACTAATATACATGGCCTATTATATTTCATTCTTTATTGAATTCTTTTCTGTTAACATATGTGGTGTGAGTGAGCTTATATAGTGTGGACTAGAGGGTCAATAAAAATATTTCTTGAGTCATAACATGTAGGATAAAATAACTTCAAGAATGAGATGTTACTTTTTATTTTCACATATTTAAACAATAAATAAACATGCTTATATTTGACTTTTATTATTAATATAAATTGTATCAAGTTTCTCTTCTTCAAAGGTGTAGCAAAAATTAACAATGGGGTGACTAAAAAGCGACAAGTTTGATCAAACTTAAACATTTCAATATTGAAACAGAATAAAATCGATCCCAAATACATGCCAAACCCTCATTTTATGTTACAATTTTTAGAAAAAAAACTTGATCTATAATCAGGAAATATAGTACTTTTTTCATAGTTTGGTATAAAATTTCTGAGAGGTCATTGTTGCAGCATTATATGTCATATTTATAAATGAAATTTTATGATATTTAACAATTAATCCAAATTTTCGTGAAAAGCATAGAATGAGACACCTTGATGAACCAGATGAAACTATGGTCTTGTTGAGACCAAATGTGAAAACCATCATGTTATGTTTAAACAACATGTTTATATTTTCATTTAAATAAAATGTGTTGAAAATATTATATATATATATATTAAATATTTAAAGCTTCCTCGATACCATTTTCCATGTGGCTACTCTCTTCATCTCTTCTATGTGATCTTTTATGATTTTATTACTGGTTTTATAGTTAACTTATTCTGAGTTATACTTTTATATAACTGGTATCAAAATTGACAAAATTGTGTTTAAAAGAATAACTTTGAGTCTAATCTATACTTGCTTTAATAAAGAAGGAAGAAATCGAGACTAATGTTGGAATAAATTTAAATTTGTATAATTTCAATATATTAAATGAAAATTTTATATAAATTATTTGCAATGTTTTTTTTCTTTTTAATTTTAGGTACAGGCTGTTTCGCGAACACTGTGTTTGTGTAAATGGCAATTATATAAAAGATTTGTCAATTCTGGGACGAGACCTCTCTAAAACTATCATCGTTGATAACTCACCTCAGGCGTTTGGCTATCAGGTATATCGAATATTAAATATCTTTCATATTCAGTACTTTATTTTAAGTTTAAATATATTTTAGTTGAATTAACTGACTGTGAATTGATATTTCTAGCTGGAAAACGGAATTCCAATAGAAAGTTGGTTCATGGATAGATCAGATTCTGAACTGATGAAGCTGCTCCCCTTCCTAGAAGATCTAGTTTACATGGTATGTGTAATTTATATATTTAACATTGTTGGATGGTTTACTTTTGTTTTTCTTGGTTGATAAAAAAAGGTTCGTTTTGGAAATAAACCAAAGTTTGATTATTTACAATTTTTATTTAGAATTGCTCTAAATATTGTAAATTAAGGTAAATATTCCAGTAATAGACACTCTAATAGTAATAGACAGTTATCTACTAATTTTGATTCATTCATCTTCCTAGTTCTGCCATAAATACTGTTACAAAAGTTGAACTTTGTTTACATCCTTGGGTATTATTTAGATAATCCTTACCTATATCAGGTTATTTTCTTTACATGTCAAGATAATAATTCCAATTTTTCGCTCAGTTAACATAAGAGTTGAGTGATAAATAAGTTCGAATCGCTGTGATCGCCTTGCACAAAGTTGGAAAATGTAGGTCAGAGATTTTTAACACTTTGAAACCTTTTTGTATCCGCCAAATGTTTGTGTACGGCACTATAAATAGATATAATGAGACCCTATCTGTATGTGACAGACCTCGACTGGGCCGTCCTCGCACTATGAGAACGGCAAATACAGCGAGAGCAGCGGCTGCTCAAATCAGAAGAAATTCCATTCGAAAACAACAAATCATGTCTTAGGAAATGGGAATTTCTGTCATATCAATGTCTCACATAATAAAAAGTGACCTTAGGATGGTAACATTTCGAAGTATGACAGGACAAAGGCTAACCACTTCCCTAAAAAAAATTAGAGTGGATAGGTGCAAAATGCTCCTTGGCCGTTACACCAATGGTCTTCATCGAAAGATTTTGATTAGCGATGAGAAAATTTTTACAATTGAAGAAAAATTTAATCGTCAAACTGATCGTGTGTACACACACAGCTCTAAAGAAGCCCAGAAAGTCATTGGAAAAGTGAAAAGAGGTCATCACCCGTCCTCAGTGATGGTTTGATGGGGAGTTTGCTTTGATGGCACCACAAAGCTCCATTTTTGTGAAAAAGGAGTTAAAACAGCTGCTAAAATCTATCAGGACGATATTTTGGAACCTATTGTCATCAAGTCTCTAAATCGTACTCTGTTTGCTGGAAGTCATTGGGGTTTCCAGCAGGATTCTGCTCCAGCTCACAAGGCCAGGTCAACTCAGCAGTAGCTGCAAAAGAACATTCCAGAGTTCATCTCTGCCTCGGATTGGCCCTCAGGAAGCCCTGATCTCAACCCACTAGATTATCGACTTTGGTCCGAACTGGAGAGGACGTCATGTCACAGAGCACATCCCAACTTGGAAAGCCTCAAACAATCTCTGGTTCGAGCAGTAGAGTGCCTTCCTCAAGAAGTGCTGCGTGCTGCTATTGATGACTGGCCACGGAGATTAAATACCTGTGTCAAGACAAAAGGGGATATTTTGAATAATTTATTTTTTGTTTTTACTCTATAGATATACATTTTATTTTCTAATAAAGTTTTTGAAAAAAATAATTTTTCTGTTGAAATCTGTATATATTTCCTTGTAATAATATTTATGGCAGGACTAGGTATAGTTGGTCATTTCTTAGTTTAAAATTGTCCAGTATTTATTTTATTTTTTTAATTACTTAAGAAAAATATCGACCCCAAAACTTGAGTATCAATCACTGGTGCTATATACAGTGTCAGAATTTTCTAATTTTTTTGTGAATAATTAACTAATTGACTGCATAGAAAAAAAAAAAAAATGATGAAAGAGTAAATTTGATATCATCTGAACCTATGTGCGAAGAGCCACCATCAGAACTATCACATTAATATTGAAAATTTCTCTTAAAGTTTGTATTACTGGTACATTTCATTTACCTCACTATAATTGTTTTTTAATTACAATGTTTATAACCTGATCAGTTGATAAATTTGTCAAGACCTAAATTAAACATGAAATTAACTCTACTATTAAAATTTAAAAAATTGAATCAAAAGAAAAACCATTGTAAAAGCTCTTAATCAAAAGACAATTTAATTCAAATTAAACATTTATATTTTGCATAATGCAATTGATCAAATATTTTAAAATAAGAAATATTAAAAAATATACATATTATATAGAGTGTTGCAATATCAACAGATGCAATAAATTAATCGAAAAAAAAAAATTAAACTCACTAATTGCTTAAATGTTTTCATGGAAACACAAATATTAGGATTAGGAACATTTAGTTAGTCATGTGATTCAATAAGGATCAATAATTTAAAACACTGCTGCATTGCCATTTAAAGGATAAATGTTTGAAAGCAATATTAAAAAAATATTTTTATTATAAATGTAAAGTTTATTTTTGTAAATATATTTGTTATAAATAATACCACTACTTTTAGGTGACAGGATATCAAATCATATTAAACAAGCAAATTTTTCTAAAAGTGGGGTATCTGTAGTCTAGTTGGAGAGTGAAAAAAAAAAATCATGAATAATCTTTGATTTTTAGTGAAAAACGTTACTTAGCTTAGTTTAGCCGCTTAAAAGTCCCCTTTTGGTGATTTTAACAAAGATAAACTCTACTGGAAACGAAGATTTAAAAAAAATTCTAATATTTTGTAGCTTTTAAGGTCTAATAAAACTTCTTTAAATATTTACTTTTACTTAACGATCACTATATATTAAATAACATTTCTTGAAAACTAATTCATTTTTTATTTTTTATTTTTAGAATGAAGATGTTCGACCACATATCCGAGACAAGTTTCGCCTGTTTACATTTCTTCCTCCTGATTAATTATTTCAGAGTTACTTCATGCAGCTTAGGAAGTTGTTGATGGAAATGTTTATTGTTAATTTGTTGTTTTTATTTTTTAATTTGAACCCTCCAAAGTTGCAGTTTAGATATTTTTATCTAATTTGAACGATCAAAGTAACAATAAAATGTTAGGGCATTAGGTTAAAACTAAAAATAGGTATTTCATTTTTGATCTCCATTTATTTTTTTGTTTCTGGAGTTAGTGAAAATTTTACTTAAGTCTAATCAAAATCAATTCTTTTGTTGTAAATGTTTGTTAAACAAACCTTCCTTGTAAATTATAATATTATTTTAGATTCATTAACTTAACCTGTTTAAGTTGATTCTTGAATTTTAATAGGTTGATGAAGAGTGTGATCACATATAAATTACTAGTCCGTGGTACATACCACTTTTTATAAAATTATTAACATTAGGCTGAAACTTCGTAAATAGCTTCATCTCATCGTAACCTACAAGTATTTTATTTACAAAAATTCTCAGGATTGGAGCACGTTCAATCTGAAGATTGGCAAACTTTGTCTATTTAATTAGGTACTAAAAACTTATAAATAGCCATTTGCTTTCCACCTGTATTGTAAGATAAATTGAGCACAAAGTCGAGAATAAAGATGGCCTTAAAAAATATTGAGCCATCTGGCATGACCTATATCCCCAAATTGTCAACGGCTCAATATTTTTTTTAAAGGCCACCTTTTTTCTCGACTTTGTGCTCATGTTATCTCATGATTAAAGTTTAAAGAAAATGGGTATTTATTATTATTTAGTGCCTAATTAAATAGACAAAGTTTGCTGACATCCCGATTGAAAACATCCCAATTCCAAGAATTTTCATAAATAAAATGTTTGTAGGTTATGATAATATGAAGCTATTTACGAAGTTTTAGCCTAATGTCAATAATTTGATAAATAAGGGTATGTACCACAGATTATACTGTTTTATACATTGAAAATTGTGACACTGTAGTTTTTATTTCTAATTATTTTTTTAACAGTTCCTTTTTATTTGATAGGAACAGGTCGAGTTTTCTAATAGTTGTTTCGGAGCTTTAAAATTGTTTCGACAGACTACTCATTAAAAAAGAGAGTCACATTTTGTTAAAACTACTTAAAATGAAACTAAGATTTATTTATATTTTGATTATTTAATTTTAGAAAAAGTTTTATATTTATTTTTTAGATGTTATATTAAAATTCTTATTTTTTTGTTTTTCTACTGGTATACAGTTACTTAATCTTTTTAACTCCGTATGCTGGACATGGTAGGTAGAGAGTGAAAAAAAAACTTAATTCAATGGATTTAAATTGCTAATAAAAATGAGATATTTATGGTTTATCAAAATATTAACTGGATTATATTGGTAGTCTCTATGTGGGTGTCAAAAAAAATTATAGTGGGGGTTGAATAATTTCTGATTTTTACTCTTTTGTTGTAGAGTCATTTTAAATATAAATAAAATACTTTATATATTTTATTATAATATGATTGACTGTGTCTGACCTTTACCATTCATAACTCTGGAGTGGGGAGGAATAGGGTTCACTCATGCTTATATAGAAATTGAATAGCTACTTGAATAAAGAAATAGCGTTTTGATATTTACTTGTTCATAGTGGCAATAAAGGTTGTTTTGGCAGAAAATGTTGAGTTATGTCTTTTTTTTTTTAAGTAACAGGTTAAGTAACTGTTTATACAATACTACATAATGCTTATCTAATTTTTTTTAAAAATAATATATTTTTTAAAAATTACGTTTGTAAAAATAATTTTATTTTATTTTTTAACTAAATATTTTATTTTTTTTACTTGCTATTACAAATAAAAATTTAAATTATATGTATTTTAATTTGTTTTTATGAATTTCTAGTCACGGAACGAAAATGCAAAATATTGATTTATTAATAATTAGGCAAAAGTTTTAAAATAATTTATTATTTTTATCAAAGAATGGATTTTTACAGTCCATTTAAAAAACAAAAGTGTTAAATTATAATCGAGTGATTTATAATTATTTCTAATATATTTACACAATTAAAGAGAAACAAGTTAAAGACTTGTTATTAAGTTTGTTTTTTAATTTTTTTAAAATAAATATTTTTTGTTGCAGCTATAGTTTGTTTTTGTATTATTGAGCTGTGATTTAGAATAAAAGTTAGGGTTTTATTTAATAAGTCAATATTATGCAGAGCGGCTCCCTGACTATTATTCTTTATACAAGAAAGCTGTTTTATTATTTTAATATAGTATTTTAGATTGATTTGTTTTCCTCGATGTTTTATTCTTTCTTTCTATCAGTTGTCAAGGGGGAGTAGATTGTGAGGTGGGGAAAAAAGAATTTATTGTGCCTTCATCATACAGATTAGATTTATAAATATATATCCTTTTTTTATTTTCTCTTTTTTTTTATTATAAATAAACTATACGTTTACGTTTTTTTTTTTTTAACGTGTTCATCTTGAACATGGTTTGTGAGAAAATATGAGAAATATTAGGACGATTGTTTTATTAATTATAAAACACAGATGCACCACGATCACTTAAGATATAAGACATATGAAACTTAAGCTTAAAATTCCCGTTGAGTTAGAAAATTTTAGATTAGCTAGAATATTCTATTTTCCATTGTCATTTTTCGAGAGGATAAAAAAAAAGAAAAAAAAGATGCTTATGAAGAAAGTTGAAGAGAATCGAATTAATTAAATGTTATATATTCGGGGCCAGGCAATAGTTGAGCTTAATGTATAATTGTTTTCCTCGCATTATGTTTTAAATTAAAAAAAAAAGATTAAATATTATTTATTTAATTTTATTTTTTTGTGTTGTATTTTAGCAAAGAAGAATCAATTTAAAATCAATCGTATTATGTATATATTATTTACCATGTTAAAAAGTAACAAATGTTGGACTTGTTATGTCAAGAAAAATCCTTTATTATTAAATGTTTTTGTTTGTTTTCTTTTAAATAAATAAATAATATAAAAAAAAAAGAAGGAATTAAATGTTGTCTGTTGTAAAGTGATGCCTGAATATGATAACTGATGTACATTAGCATCACTTTAGTATTTTTATGTAAATTAATGATGATTGAATGTAGTATGTTGTTGCTGCATTAGAGTTCAAATATAGCCGATATATCATCCTCAATTTGTTTTTGTTTTTTTCACTGCATTGTATAATTACTGTTAGAATAAGAATACGTATAAAATGTTTTAGTTACCCCTTAGAGTTATGATAAAATAGTTATATGCTGAAAATATATAAGTAGTATATACTTAAAAATGAAGGCTCAGCAAGTTTTCTGGGAATTCTCCAAGTAAGGATTGCGGCAGATCCATCTGAATGGAAAAAAATAATACGGGAGGACACCATTTAGCAGTGGAATCGACGATGGGTGACTACTCATAAAGGCTCTGTCTTGAGAAAATACTTTCTCACCGTCTATTCAAGGTTTGAAGCGAAATGGGTCCTCCCTGATTATTAGATGTTACAATATCCCACAGGACATAGGGGTTTTGTGCCAAGCTTCATGCCTTTGGGAAGGAAATAACCCACTATGGCCACGTTAGGCTGTTCCAGAAACTGCTGAGTATATAGTCACGACTTGCACTACTTTTAAAGCAATAAGGGTCAAACTACCGGTAGAAATCGGACTCTACATCATCGAGGAAGACGATTTTCCTTAGCTAGTATAAAATAACTAGAGCATAGAAGCAAGAATAACTACTCGTACTATGAAGCCCTCGTATACAGATGGAAGGAATTAATGGGTGTTTACCATTACCAATGAAGAAGACCAAAGAACCAGAGAATTGGTACTTGTGATTTAGCCAGTCACCACGGACTTCTATTCGCCAATGTTTATAACCTGAACACCGATAATTCTGATACTGATAATACCTATCATTGTATTCATTTTTATGGAAATTTAAAACAGGCAAGAAGAAATTTATATTTTTATTTATTTATTTAAATTTTATGCAATTTGTACCTGCGCATCTAGCAAATTTGTTGTGTTTGTATTGTCTTCGTGTATTTACTTGATATAGTTTTATTGGAATAGTAGGTCACGGCCATTTTTGTTTTAATCTGCGTTGTTCAGGTAACAGGGAGCAGGAGATAGAAAGAACCAGAGGATTGGAGTGATTTTGGGTTGAAGAATGAAATGTAGTGTATTTGTCATGGATGTAGGATTTTACTTTTGAGTCGTTATGTATAGTAGTATTTGAAATGTACCAAGATGCGTTAACAATTTTTTGTAAAATTTTTGATTGTGCTGTTTGTATTTTGTTTATTTTGTATTGTGCTTGTTTTGCTGAACAAATTAGAAGAAGAAATTAATAATGACAAAGCACTTTTATTTTACAACATATATATGTATGTATATATATATACACATAAAACACTTTTATTATATATTTTATTTATTTTGGGAGACAAAATACAACATATATAATACTTTATATATACATATAAAACACTTTTATTATAATTTTGTTTATTTGAAATGGTTGTTTGCTTCATTCAGTTGTTGCATGTTGTATCCTTTCCAACAATCAGAATATATAGAGTTTCTGTCTTCTATATTATTTTTAATACATTCTAATAGAGTTGTTGCTTTTCTGTATTTTATTTTTACCTTGAAACACTCATGTGTTTCTTGGCAAAGTCCACCAAACTTCCATTGTTCAGGGAGAACTCTTCCTACATGATTTTTTCTTTTAGAAAAATGACTCGTCTATTTCAATCACTTTTCCAGGGCCGCCAATTTTTTTTAATTCACCTGTATATGGATTCAGCTGCTCTTTGCCTAACTCAGTTGTTAAATTATGAGACCAGCCATAAATAAATTTTAAAGCCGTTAAAAAGGTAGTCCTCGACCCCTCTAACTCGACCCCTCCTTTTCTTATAGAAATGTTTTTCCTGCAATTCCTATGAAAGTTGATATCCATTTAGTCTTCCTATCAAACTCTATTTCATG